CTCAGAGAGTCTAGATTTGAATGTGATTCAGATTTGGAAACCTCCTAATGAGACTAGGAGAAGGCTGATCCAATCTGCAGATAAGATAAGAGTTTACCCTTATCACTTAAAGGGAAGTCTGATCCAAATATGATTTGGATCAGCAACTCATAATGGGATTAGGAGCTGATCCCTTTAAGGCTATAAAAGGAGGAGGGGCGGCAGCCTTTAGACACACAACACAAGTCCTTCACTTGTCTTCAGAGCTGAAAACACAGAAGAGAGAATTCAGCACACCTGTGAAAATTCTCTCTTGCCGTCTCCTTCCTGCCGCCGCCTCACCTGTCAGTTTGACCTCCAGTTCAGTGGGAGAAATCAAGATTCGATCTTGATATCAGTTCCTTGTGAAGGGACTGATAGGAAGCTGTGCTCACATGCCATCCTGCTATTTCTTGTGAAGGATTAGGTTCTTGGAGAGAACACTGCTGATTCTGCTCCATCCTACATTGCGTTATCTTCAGTGGGAGCAGTCTTTGGATCATTCCTTGGGCGTGAACATCTTCGTTGGGAGATATTATTTCTCTGTATCAGGTATAATACTCTCCTATTGCTTTTGTTCAGATCTGGTTCGATTCATGGTTCAAGATTGATCATTGAAAAATATGTTTTTTCTAAAATAGGGAATGCGATTCCCAACTGAAGGGAGAGATTTTTGAAATTCGCTCACCTTATTCCGCAAGATTTGGGCGTCCATACGATGGATCTCTCATCCTTTCAATTGTAACCCCTAGTAGTCTTCGGCAACCCAAGGACAAAATCCATGTACAAATCCTACCATGGTTCATGAGGAATGGGCAGGGGTGTATATAGCCTAGTGTTTTGCTTTTATCCTTTAGCAAGTTGGCATGTCCTACATTGCTTTATTATATGAGCAACATCATTCTTCAAGCTAGGCCAATAAAACCTATTATCTACCATAACAATGGGGCTGGGCTTATCTCTATGAGAATGACTTGCTACATAGCCATTATGTAGTGAAAATGAAGGATACTCATCTTGCTTTCCAAGTTGTAAA